AAAATGGAAGTGTGCTGATGATCTTGACCCTTAAAGCTGGTCTCGTGGGTGTGAACAATTTTATTTATTTACTTTAAAAACTGGAGAGGCAACACACATTTTAAGCATACTTTAGTTGTGTATTGTAAAAACATCACTGCCGGCTTTAAGTCTAGCTGAAGCACACGACCACCCTTGGTGGTAACTTAACGGGCGGAAGTTGAGTCTCGCTCTACAATTTATTGACGGAAAAAGAAACATTTGAATTGGATGACGAGCCTATTCATTAAAAAAGATCAAAGTATTTTTTTAAAACGACTATCGGTTGAAGGAAAATCTATGAGTTAGATGCACAAAAAATAGTTATGTGTCTGTTGTGTTTCTACCACGTGCTGGCTCAGTTAGAAGCAGATATCTGAGCTAGCAAGTTACGGGGTGGGTTCTTGGGTAACTTGTGTAGCATGGAGTAACTAAGTCTTCTTTTAGCTAGTAATATCTGGGTTTAATCTCTGCTAACTGGCGACTTATAGTTACTCGACTTGAAATGAAGTTAGCAGAGTAAAATACATATTTAGTATTTAGTGAGCTGAGGTCTAGCAAATGTTAGTCAGCTAGGGTCTAGAAAGGTCTGGTCAGCTGGGGGTCTAGACAGGTCTGGTCAGCTGGGGGTCTAGACAGGTCTGGTCAGATGAGGTATGGACAGGTCTGGTCAGCTGGGGTCTAGACAGGTCTGGTCAACTAGTGTCTGGTCAGCTGGTGTCTAGACAGGTCTGGTCAGCTGGGGTCTAGACAGGTCTGGTCAGCTGGGGTCTAGACAGGTCTGGTCAGCTGGGGTCTAGACAGGTCTGGTCAGCTGGGGTCTAGACAGGTCTGGTCAGCTGGGGTTTAGACAGGTCTGGTCAGCTGGGGTCTAGACAGGTCTGGTCAGATGGGGTCTAGACAGGTCTGGTCAACTAATATCTGGTCAGCTGGGGTCTATACAGGTCTGGTCAACTGGGGTCTAGACAGGTCTGGTCAGCTGGGGTCTAGACAGGTCTGGTCAACTAATATCTGGTCAGCTGGGGTCTATACAGGTCTGGTCAACTGGGGTCTAGACAGGTCTGGTCAGCTGGGGTCTAGACAGGTCTGGTCAACTAATATCTGGTCAGCTGGGGTCTAGACAGGTCTGGTCAGCTGGGGTCTAGACAGGTCTGGTCAACTAGTGCCTGGTCAGCTGGGGTGGGCAGTTTACGACCTAGAAAAACACTGGCTCCTCTCTAAAAGAGAGGCTGACCTGATTTAGCCCGTGTTTCCTTTAGTTAAAGTAAAACCGTGTTTATTTACATTTATTATCTTGTCTCGCCACAATGTTATTGTTATTTAATTACTCATTAAAACACGCCTTGACATAAATTAACCATTAAAACAAGAATCAACAATAGTAAGTTAAAAATATAAAACATTAAACCAATATAAACAAAAGGTAATTCAGCACTCCATCACGTACGATAATGTTATGCCTAATTGATAAATTTTTTAGGTTGGACAAGGGGTTAAAGGGGTGGGTTGGGTAAACACGAGTGGAGTTATCAGCCCTGTAGATATCAAACACGGTCACGTGCTGTCCAGTTCTGTCCCTTGCGGGAAATAATCTCTACACAGAAGGTATTGCTGTCCTTATCCTAGGCCTAAACCCGACTAAAACAGCGATCACAGCAGATTTCAAAAGCTCTTCGACACAATCCTATTTTACCCCCAGCTTTAAAAGAATTTTTTAAAAAGCATCATGTTTAAGCCGACGAGGCTATACAGATTTAAAAGAGGTTTAACGTGAGTACATACAAAACAATTTAGCTACAGAAACACCAGCTTTTATCTCTGGTAATCTACAGCGGTTTAAAAGAGGTTTAACGTGAGTACATACAAAACAATTTAGCTACAGAAACACCAGCTTTTATCTCTAGAAGTCTACAGCGGCATAACACGGTGATGGGAGATTTTGTTAAGTGTAGTAACCTACCTTTACTGCAGGCCTGAATGAGACATCCTGTTTCGTTTCTACAACACAATTTACTGTTGCCAACGAATATTGATCAAATATTCAACTGCTATCGATTCTTATATTGATCACTACAGTTGCTAAAAGAAATCATTCTAAAATAAACATGAAAAACTTTCAATTTTCAAACAATCACGTCCGGGAAATTTATGTAAACAGAGTGTGAGTTGCTACTTCATGTACCACATTACATAATCGGATTAGCGTTAATCCCTGCTACACGACCGTTAGCAATCAACGAACATCGATCTGGTGCTGGGCGCTCGTCTGCTACCAGCAGGTGCATGATGCCTGGGCTAAGGTAATGTCGACTCAAGGATTCTCAAAATTCCACACCAGCATCCCCGAAATACACCCCAGGAACTGTTTGTAAAATATAGGTCCGTAATGTTAATTTTAAAAACATTTTGGCTTGCCGGAGTGTATTTTGTGAAAAATTGATTTAAATATATTACAGAACATATTAGTCTAAGTCGGGGCTGTGGTCTGAAATAAGTAGCGGATCACTGTCCAAAATCTTATCTAAACTTAGAAATATAACTTAATTTTTAAAAAATCTCCTTTGATGAAACCTTGAGAAGGCAATGTATAATAAATACAGGAGAATATCATTATATACGGGAATTGAGCTACGGCTTGTTAAAACCGGAAGTTGAAATTTGATATATTGAATATTCATTCGTCTCTTTCATCCTTTGGTATAACAATAGCAACTGTTCTGTGTAAATATACTAGGCATATGATAACCGGAAGTTGAAATTCGACTCCACGTTCAGAGAATATTTGATCGTGGTTTTTTAATCTCTTTTGTATAACAACAGCAACACTTGTATAATAGTACTGGGTATAGGGTGTGTTTCATGTGCTGTAGGCGGTACTGGCAATAAGCAAGTTGGCTGTAAACATCAGTAAGACGGGGCAAGCACTTTTGTTTACATAAAAATATAACCAATACTGTACACTTCTTAAAACATTTTTTTTTATCCCCTGACTTTTTGTGTTACCTGGCAGGTAGAGACGAAACATCTCGTCTGTTGTAGAACGTCAACTGTTGTCTAAAACATCTCAGGTCCCAGGTTAACCTCACCACTACACCAGTGCAGGCTGCTAGTTACTGGAACAAGGGAGATAATTCAGTTTTTCCCCCCCTTACACAACAACTGGCTCACGGGGAAGTAACCGTGTTACCTGCACCCAACCTCCCACTTCTAAAGGGGAAAAAAAACTATACTTCATTGCCGTTAAATTGATTTTGCTGTAAAAGAGTAAGGAAAAATTTAACCTCCATGAAGTCACATTTTTAAAAACCCAGAATAAACAACCAGAGGTTTTTGCTCAAGTTTTAGCCCGTCGGTAGAGACAGATTTCTATGTTCAAGCTTAGGGGGAAGAGGGGACGAACACTTATTGTTAAAGGGGGGTGGATTACTATTGTTTTGATCAAGGGGGAGGTGTGGAAGGTAAAGGTAGGGATCTGAGTGTACATAAGGATAAAATGAGCTCATCCAGCCAGTCTGGCTACCCAACAGCATCCAAATAATTTACAGTCTACACAAACCCATCATATACTGCTTAGACAATCAATGGACTGGGTGGAGTTTATCAGCCCACAAAAAATTACAACACACTTTTGAAGAAAAACAATTCAAGCTTTAATTATAAACAAATACTAGGACGCTACAACTGTAGAAAAGTGTGGTGATTGTATAGACATCAGGTTAGGGTTAGACCAAGTAGTATTTTTTTGACAGTATAAATACCAGAACACTAAACATGTTTAATCAGTGAAGGCAGTTATAAAAGTGTTTTATACATCAGGCTAGACCAAGGAAAAGTGTTGTCTGCACATATGGGAGGATAATAGGAAAACAAAAGCTAATTCTAATATAAAGGGATTACTGCCCTTGGTAAAAGTGAATTCCTGGCTACAGGTGACTATTTTAGACCAGACAATCACATCTGGTGTTGTATGGTTTATATTTCTTTTAGACCACACAATCAAATCCAAACAAATTTATCAAAATGATCAGAGAAGCACACAGTGCTAAACAACAATAAAGCTTACATTATTCAAATAAAAATTATCACAAAAATGATTTGAAACCATCTAAAACATTGACAGGATGATTTCTGTGTCAGGCAGTTGGCCTCTAAAGTGTTTATTAAATTGTTTTAAACATTCACACAAAAACTTTTCTTGACATCATCTATCATTTTTCACAGGAAAACAAACATTGCTGTTGCTTGCACCTAATACCACCATAATCCTTTCATGCGAGTGAAAAAAATAAAACACCATAAAGTCCACTGCATATCTCCTTGGAGATAGTTTGGCTGTCCTCTAATAGGTTGTACAGAATTATTTCCCTTTACTTAACCTCTTCAACCCTGAAGTAACTTTGTAAGAGTCACAAGTATCTGTACCAGACTTCCTGTGTAGAAGTATCCCAGGAATCAAGACAATTAGGGCCGATCTACCACACCATTCTGTGGGATTATGTACTAGTGTACCACTTCCTGTGCAGAAATATCCCAGGGATCAAGACAATTTGAGCTGATCTCTTGCAATACTCTGTGGGACTATGTGCATCTAGACTGTGTCTTTCCCAGTTCATATACAGAAATGTCCCTAGGGATAAAGACAATTTGGGCTGATCTACCACACCATTCTGTGGGACTATGTAAAAGTGTACCACTTCCTGTACAGAAAAATCTAAGGGATCAAGACAATTTGGGCTGATCTCTCATCACATTCTATGGGACAATGTACAGCTAGACTGTGTCTTTCCTAGTTCATATACAGAAATGTCCCTAGGGATCAAGGCAATTTGGGCTGATCTCTTGCAACACTCTGTGGGACTATGTACAGCTAGACTGTGTCTTTCCCAGTTCATATACAGAAATGTCCCTAGGGAAAAAGACAATTTGGGCTGATCTACCACACCATTCTGTGGGACTATGTAAAAGTGTACCACTTCCTGTACAGAAAAATCTAAGGGATCAAGACAATTTGGGCTGATCTCTTGCAACACTCTGTGGGACTATGTACAGCCAAACTGTGTCTATACCATCTCCCTCTATTGCCACAGGCTCCCATGATGGCAGGGGGAAACGGCACGCCACCACTCTGGTGTTTGTGCACAATTCTTTTTGAAGCTTCTTCTCCAGTGGCTCCATCTGGTGATCATTTAAAAAGTTATAGTCAACTTTTAAAAAACCCTTTAATAACAATTGAAAAATATACCCTTAAATGTGTATATGACAGTTCATTTTTCCACAATTATTTTATTTAAGGGGTGAACAAAGTCCTGAATCTTCCATGAGATACACTTTGTGCAACACTGCTTGACTAACAAAAACATAGAATTACTTGCACCATATAATTTGGCTAAAATAACTTGTCCAATAAGGTTTTCAAATATTTAACATTAAAAGCACCTACCATAGATTCAACACCGAAAATGACGACATTCTGATAAATGGAGAGATCAGTCTGAAAATAATAAAGTTTAACTTCTAAAATAATTAATAAACTAACAAAACAATGTATAAACACACTAAAGATGAATACTTGTTAAACAGTGTACCACCAGACAGTACAGACAATAGAGAACAAATTGTGAATGATACCTTCAACAGATAACTACATAGTACAGACAATAGATAAATGTTCTAATGATACCTACCACTGGGCACTACATAGTACAAACAATAGATAAATGTAATGATACCTTCCACAGATTATTACATGTACATAGTACTGTCAGACAATAGATAAATGTAATGATACCTTCCACAAATCCCTGCGAAAGAATGTGGCCTGCTTGTGCAGCCCTCTTCTCCACGCTGTCCACTTGGAGTACAGCACAAGCCAAATGTTCAGCTCTACACCATAGGCCCTGAACCCTCTCTGTGCTGCTATCATTGTCTGACAAATTAAAATAAAAACATGACATGTCAGGCACAAAGTCACTGTCTGTTGTTACTTAATATTGTCTGAAACAACACATATCAAAATAAAAAAATTGACATAGACAGTTAGGTGGGACTATATGTTGGAGTGGCTAATCAACTATTACACAATTGATAACGGATTTAAATACTTAACAAAAAAAATTTGATTACTACCTGCAAAGATGTTGAATAGAGACGGGGTGGCCTAGAAGTAGAGAGCTGGACCGCTAACTTGTAGGTCTCGAGCTTGAATCCTGGTTTAAGTTAGTAGATCGTCCCTGAGTCCACCCAGCTCTGATGGGTAAACTCATGTTAGGGTAAGTAAAGGCGGCTGGGCATAGTGCTGACCACACTATCCCTTCATATGGAGAGGTCACAGAAAAAAGTGAACTCTAATTCACTTGCCCCATAGACCGTCAGGTTTGAAAGGGAACTTTACTTTTTACGTTTTTTTTATGTTGAATAGAGTGCATAAAATATATCTCATGCATGTTTTACAGTTATTAAAAATACCAGTTTATAAAAAGGTTAACTTCTTTAGAGTCATAAACTTACAATTCTACCATCTCCACTGCCTATATCAATCAATGTCCCCGAACTTTTGCCTAAAACTTTCATCACATTTTTCACTTGATGAGAAGAAGCAGGAATATAAGGCAGGGCAAATCTCCGCAAACCAGGAAACACAAAAGGTGCCAGGACAGCTGTGAATCCTGCACACACTGCAGCTGACACCCCCAGCATTATTTTACCTCTGCGACTTAACTTGGGTGGTTTGGAAAGTTTTCCTGCTTCAGATATCTCGTTGCAAAAATCACATTCTTGTTCTACTGAAGGCTGTTTAGCCTTTGTGAGATCAGAAAAAGCAGAGGAAGTTCCAGACATTCTTCATCAATTTGGTAGCTACAGCAACAAGTAGACAACTGTTGAATCTGAAGTATATTATGATTGAAGGATAATTATGATTAAAGGATAGAAAAGTTCAGTATCAGTAGAACTTATATTTATTTTTAATTTCAACACATTTTTATTATTTTACTGACATAGACTTAGTACCGTTAGTTAATAATAGTCTTTCTTTACTAGATCAGTGTTTCTTCCAGACTTTTTACTCCGGGGGGGGGGGGGGGGGGGGCTTACTTGAAGTTTTTTTTGGGGGGGGGGGGGGGGGACGGACAGACTAAAAATTCCGGGGGGGGGCAGAAACTGGTAAAAGTATCTATCTCCGGGGGGGGGGGGGGGTTCACCAAAGAGATGCCCTAGAAGAAACTCTGATCTAGATTTAACTAAACTACTAACTTAAATATCAATAAAAGGTCTATTACTTTTATTTACTATTAACATTAACTACTATATTTTATTTTTATTATCGTAGTGTCTATTCCCAGTCGACTGGGATTAAAGTTTCCCTTTCAAACCTGCCGTTCTATGGGGCCAAGTGAAGTAGAGTTCACTTGTTTCTGTGACCTCGGCATATGATTATGAAGAGATTGTGTGGTCAGCACTATGCCGTCTATGCCCAACCGCCTTTACTTTCCCTAACGTGAGTTAGGTACCCATTTTAACTTAACTTTACTTAACTGACTAGAGTCTAGAAGAATCCAGTAGTAGATCTAGTTGACATAGATCTAGTATAGTACATACAGCAGTCATTTCTACTAGTACATAATCGAGGTCTACATAGAAAAAAATAGCTACACAATTTTACACACAGAATCGGTCAACACTGTATGGATCAAGATCTAGATAGATCTAGTGAAGGGCCTATAGTCTAGTAGATCTAGTATAGATTTAGATAGGCGTAGTGAAGTGTATGCACTATGCAACAGTTTATTAAATTTAAGCTAGATCTAGAATAAAATCAGGACACATGTTTGACCCCGTTTGACCCATATTAAATAAGCCAGATTTTTTAATGTGTAGTCAAGCAGCTGCTAAAAATTAAATTTCAATATTTTTTTTTTAGATAGGCCTATCCTGAATAATAATTAAGTTAGCAGTTTTTAAATTATATCAGTCAAAGTAAGCTCTGATATGTGGGGTTTTATATAGACGCAACAATATTTTAAAACAAGACAAAGTATTAAAGTTTACCATTAAAAGCCAAAATAATTACATTCGAAACTACGAACATGATCTAATTCTTCCCCTTTGCTTTTTAATAAACTTCAATAAGAGACACTTTTTATAATGACTTCTAAATACTATGTTGTAATGGTTTTTTTTTTAAATTAACCCAACATTTAGATCTAGATCTAAAATCTAGTCTAGTAGTAGCACCGAATTAAAACTGGTTAGGCCTAGTCTTTGGACTATGGTCTAGCTCTTCCCAAATTAACTAAATATTTTTACCCCCCTTTGATCACGTGACATGAAATGAAATTCGCCATCATGGCGCCAAACATTGCGTAGTGTTGTTGTGAAAATGATAAATTTCATTACATGTAAATTAAAATAGTTCTTTTAAAATAGCATGTTCCATATTATGCTCTCTAGATCTAGAAACAGCCAATGTGACAAAATAGTGTCAGTGTTAATAGAATAGTCATTGCTCAAACACTACAGTTGCTGGTTTGACCAATATTAATATCAATAGGAGACTCATCGGTAATCTATCGTTTTAGGTACGTAAAATCGCCCGCGACTTGTAATGTGAAAAACAGGTGACTCCTTAAATTTTAATAATTATTTCACATTTTGAGGAGGATTTATGTTTTTTAAAATACAAAAATGTTTCCTTGTTCATTTATGTATCTGTTTTTAAACAATTGAATTAAAACTTTACAGTAATAAATGAAGACTAGCGATGTTTCCAACAGATGCAACCATGCTCATTTACTATAGCAGCCATCTTGTTTAAGTTTTATTTTTATAAGATTCAGGGGGAAGTCACTCTATTTTACACATGGCTGCTGTTTATATAGCAAATCATGCTCGCAGACACTGCTATATTGATATATTTAGCCATTGATTTAGGTTTATTATCCATTTATCTATAATATTTGACACAAACATGTCACAATATTCCTCTATTAAAGCCTTGACAATGAGGTTACCTTTTCGTACATTAATAACCGCGGGCGATTTTACGTACCCAAAACGATAGATTACCGACTCATCTGACATGTGGAAAGAAGCTAGATCTAGATATCTAGAGTAGATTAGATCTTAGCGTGTTAAGTTTTTAGTAGTAAGAAATTATGGATAGGTTAGTCGGTTAGTGTCTGTATAATAATTAATAATTAGGATTAATAATTTAATAGGCCTAGGATATTGCCGATTATACAGTATTCTACACTAGGAATCAATCTAATAGTTGGTATGATTGGTTACTATAGAATCTAAATCTAACTGCTAGACTAGTAGTAGTATTGTAATATCGAGTTTAGGTGTATTGGTGGTTGGACTTAGGTGAGGTTTTTGGTTAGGAAGAGTGATAGTGTTACTGATTACGTTGATGCTATACTATTTTACTATTCAATTCTCAACTGTTAAGTAACATAACACCCATTTTTATAGAATTTTATCCTTGTTGTTTGGTTACTGCGAAATGGTTTAACTACTGTATAACACAAGTACACTAAACATCCCATTATAAAAGATTACATAATATAATAAATATATGGTTAGGCCTACAATTACACACCCATTTATGATCAATAACCTAACAGTATCCATTTTTATAAAAAGTTTAATTAAGGCTTTATTAGACTCTTGTACTGTGTAACACTCCACTGTTTTTATACATTTCTCCAAGTAGTTTATTCTAGACATCTGTAAGCAATCCTCTGTCTTAGTCGCATCATAGGTAAACTAAGGATGGTCGACTAACTTTAAAAGTCTGTTACTTTTAGAAGTTAAAGAATTATTTAGTCTGTACAAATGACGCTAACTATTAAACATGATTCATAATCTTTGGACAGGCCAGTAGACTGCCTTGTTTGCTAGAATATGACCAAAGTCTAGACAAAGAGACAATGTAAATTTATTTCTGCCATCTTTTTGTATTTGACAAATTTTTGTGGTTTTTATATAGCTCTCAGCATCTACTGTGAAACAGAAAGCTATTCACCGAATTAACGGAGGTTAAAAATTTTTTGGCATCTATTACCCAACACCCTTTGCAAGATGCCTTTAACAAAAAGTTCCAAAAAGGGCGTTGGAAAGCGTGATGATAGCCCAGGCAAGTAGCACTAGTATAAGATACATTCTAAATAATTGAAAATGATTAGGCCTCTAGGCTAAGTTTTTTAGTTCTTATTAAAACACAAAACACTGGTAGTGCTGTTAGGATTAGTAGTATACAGTATAGATCGGGTAAAGTCCAGAATTAAATTTTGGAAAATAATATTGACAATTGATTGTGGATAAGCCCTGCATTATTTGTGCTTACTAGTGTTTTTGACTTTTTCCTCATGCCTACAGAAGCAGGGCCTTCAAAAAAGGACAAGTATAGCAGCGATGAAGAGGAACAGCCTATTCCAAGAAAAGGCAAAAGTCAAAGTAATTGCACAACCATTCTTTTCATTTGAGAGGCTTTGGTGCTTTTAACTATTTAATTTTAAAAATCTAAATAATGTTGGACTACTAAGCAAGACAATTATCTTTCTATGTACACAGTTACAAAATGTATGTATCAGATCTTAAATTTTTCTATTATTTAACATGTTTTTATAATGCATTTGTAATTGAAAATCCTTAGGTTCCAAAATGTCAAAACAAGGGAAGATAAGTAAAAGAAGCCCTAATGTTATAAGTAAATCAAGTGGTGTGAACTCTGGTCATAATAAGCCTGCAGAGGTAAGGACAGTAGATTTAGTGCTAGCAAAAGTCAAAGTAAAGCTAGTTGATGGCCATTTGCTAACATGTTTTGTGTTTTACCAGTTGTTCCGGAAAGATCTCATCAGTGCTATGAAAATGGCAGATACAGAAATTTTGTACGAGAGTGAGTACCTGGTTATATCTGATCCATGGAGACAAGAGTGGGAGAAGGGGGTGCAGGTGCCTGTCAACGAGGAGGAGATCCCACCTTCACAGATCAGGTAAGTTCCAATCTATAAAGACACGGATTGCCTGAGCTAGACAGGATATGTTTCTGAGTTTTATAGATTGTTTGTTTTAAACGGCACATGCAGTTTCTCTCTTATCTTTATTTTGAAATAAACAACGGTTGTATTGTGAAATAAGATATTGGGATCATTTTAAAATTTAAAAGTAGATTCAGCTAAAATTTTGGGATTTAACAATCAAAATACATGAACTATTTCCACAGGGAAATTAGAAAGCTACCAAAGAATGGAGATTTTAAGCAGTAAGTTAAATTTGTATAATGTAAGCAAAGGAGTATGTGGGAGTTAGGGAGAGACTTTATAATGCTTCGTGTCCTGTCCTTATTTTTACTGCAGAAAACATTTATTTTTTAATGTTTTGTCTTCAACCACATACTTGGTTTTAATATAGCAGTACATTGCTTTTTCTATGTAACCGTTTAATGCAATATCTTCTGTAGGCCTCTACGTAAATATCTTCATGAGAAGGTAGATGATACATATCAAGCCAGCATTCATGAGTTGACTGGGATGCAAGAACTAGCTGAACAGATAGTTCGTTATGACCTGGATGATCAAGATGTCACATGGCTGCAGCTAGTCAATGAAGACAGGGAGGAGATGGGTAAGTCCCCTGGTTTTAGAGCTATTTTTGCCATGGGTAAAGGGAGGAGATGGGTGACTGTTGTACCCTTGGTTTATAACTATTGTTATGGCTAAACTGTTATGTTTTAAACCCAAAGCAATGAGTCTGTCAATATTTAAGCCGTGAAAAGACTAAAGATAATGTTGATGAAATGTTTCATACACATGTCACTTAGAGATAAACATTTTCTAAGCATGGTGGTAACTAAATAGTGATTGGTTAATTTTTTTTTCATAGGCTTACAGTTAATCAATGAATGGAATATGGAGCGAATGATAGAAGAGCTAGAAAATCAGGTAATGATATGTTTATTTGGATACAGCAACTAGCATTTAAATAGGTAATACTGCTATCATTGGTTTTATTATGCCCAAAAGTAAATTTGGCGTTTGCAACAAAAGTTGTATAAATGTTTAACACAATTGATATTTTTACAGTGTTATATTAAAACAAATGCTTTAAAGAAAACAGAGGAAGGCTTAGGCATAGAGTACGATGAAGATGTTGCTTGTGATGTCTGCAGAATGGTAAGTGGAAGATAAATTTCATATCATACTCTAATAACTACACAGCCTGCATCAAGGCAAATACAAATAGTGACAGCCGTAATTGTATATTAAGATCACACTGTATGTAAATCTTTTTTTTCCTCAGCTTGAAAGTGAAGATACAAATGAAATGGTATTTTGTGATGGCTGTGATATATGTGTTCATCAGGTGAGTTGTGGATTTCCTCCAGGTTTTTTGTTTTGTTTCTTACTGTTGGCTACTAATTACTTCCTCATCACACAACTGTCCACAAATCTATCAAACTAACCTGTATTTTTCTACTGTTGGCTACTAATTACTTCCTCATCACTCAACTGTATTTTTCTACTGTTGGCTACTAATTACTTCCTCATCACTCAACTGTCCACAAATCTATCAAACTAACCTGTATTTTTCTACTGTTGGCTACTAATTACTTCCTCATCACTCAACTGTATTTTTCTACTGTTGGCTACTAATTACTTCCTCATCACTCAACTGTCCACAAATCTATCAAACTAACCTGTATTTTTCTACTGTTGGCTACTAATTACTTCCTCATCACTCAACTGTATTTTTCTACTGTTGGCTACTAATTACTTCCTCATCACTCAACTGTATTTTTCTACTGTTGGCTACTAATTACTTCCTCATCACTCAACTGTATTTTTCTACTGTTGGCTACTAATTACTTCCTCATCACTCAACTGTCCACAAATCTATCAAACTAACCTGTATTTTTCTACTGTTGGCTACTAATTACTTCCTCATCACTCAACTGTATTTTTCTACTGTTGGCTACTAATTACTTCCTCATCACTCAACTGTCCACAAATCTATCAAACTAACCTGTATTTTTCTACTGTTGGCTACTAATTACTCCCTCATCACCCAGTTGTCCACAAATCAAACTAACCTGTATTGTTCTACTGTTGCTTGCAGGCTTGCTATGGTATCCAGACAATTCCAGAGGGTAGCTGGCTGTGTAGAATCTGTGCACTAGGAATCAAACCTATGTGTTTGTTGTGCCCTAAACGGGGAGGTGCCATGAAATCAACTAAGTGAGTCACCAGTTTGTCACCAATTAAAATTTACTTGAGTTACCAGTACTTATATGGCTGGGTTAAATTTAAGATGAGGTGGTCTGGAAGGCCTCAAGTTGATATGAGACTTTGTCACCCAGCCCAAGTTGGTTCAAGTAAAAGTTCCCTTTTCAAATCTGACGGTCTATAGGGCAAGTGAAGTAGAGTTCACTTGTTTCTGTGACCTCGGCATATAAAGAGATAGTGTGGTCAGCACTGTGCCCAGCCGCCTTTACTTTCTCTAACGTGAGTTAGGTACCCATCAGAGTTGGGTGGACAGAGATGGTCTACTCACTTGAACCCGGATTCGAACTCAAGACTTACGGGTTAGCAGTCCAGCTCTCTACCACTCCGTCCCCAAGTTGGTTACCAACACATCTTTATCTGCCTCAAATGCTATTTTTTTCGGCCAAAATTAGAGCTATTATATTTTTAGATAGCAGGGGATAATTAGATTTTTAAACTGGAGGTAAATTAACAAGTTTTTAACTAGAAGTTTCTGTTCTCTCAGAAGTGGCACAAAGTGGACCCATGTAAGCTGTGCGCTGTGGATTCCTGAAGTTAGTATAGGCTGTCCTGAAAAGATGGAGCCAGTCACTAAAATATCCAATATCCCTGTAAGTTTTGCTGGCTTTTTGTTTGATCTTTTAACAAGTTAGCAGTCAATGGTTTTGCATCACAATTTAAGCATTTTTATGTGATACATTTCATATTTTTTCTTCTCACATAATAGCCATCAAGGTGGGCCTTAGTGTGTAGCTTATGTAAGGAGCGTGTAGGTGCTTGTATCCAATGTTCTGTCAAGCAGTGTAAGACAGCATTTCATGTCACATGCGGGTTTGCACACAACCTGGACATGAAAACAATAGTTGATGATTCTGATGAGGCAGATGGGATACACTTACGGGTAAAAAAAAATTTATACACTTACGGATAATCCTTTGATACACGTATGAGTTATATATTGTGAGATTTTTATTTTAAACATTTCTTTAATGGTTAATCATTGCAATGGTAAGACGAGTAACTTTAAACATGGGCTACCATCCACAGGCCTACTGTCCTAAACACACAAAGAATAGAAATGCCTCGGATTCAGAGTCCCCAAAGAAAGAAGACAATGTAGACAATGAAAATGAAATATCAGAAGCAGAGATGGCCAAGAAAAGATTAGAGAAGTAAGTAAGATGGTACTCGGGTGACTTGCTCGATTTAATTTATTTTATTACAAGTAGCAGGCTGGGTGGTTTGTATGTTGTTTAGTGGCTGATTAAACCATAGAATATTTGAATGATCCCCAGGCTGAAGCAGATAGAAAGTGAATTTTTTACTTTGGTGGATGTCAATGAGATCGCTGAGAAGTTTTATATACCAGAAGAAGCTGTAGATATTGTAGCTGAGTATTGGAAACTAAAAAGAAAAGTAAGGAATACTTTTGTTAATTATTGGTTTTTGATGGCATTTATTCAAATCATTGTAGCTGTAAATAATATCTGAATTTTATAACAAATATGTGCCATAGGATTATTTCAAGTACTTTGGGATTTGATCTAATAGCACTGTTTCATTCTTTTCTGACCATTAGTGTTGATCAAATGATCTTTAAACCCAACAGTTGTGCATTCTAATTCTAAGTCCTAACCACTTAATCTAAAATAAACACACCATAATATTGCAAATGTGTGTTACCTTTGCCCGTGGTGTATGACTGTAATCTGGGTAGTACGGAGGTACCAGTTATTATTGAGTGAAGTCGTTCAAAAAGTTTGGTAATATTACTGTGCCTGTTTGTGTGTTGAATGAAGTCATTAATAATCAGTTTGGTAATATGAAGATGCTAGTTTGTGAATTGAGTGAAGTCTTTGATAATCTGTTAGCGAAAATTAAAATAAAAAGTTGTATCGCCCAGCTTTTCAAACACCACAAATGCATCTTTATAAAATTTAAACACTACATTTAGATTGAACCTGTTTGCTTGGATTAAAGTAATGTACAAGCTTTGTATTCCAGGTAAATAATAACAAGCCTTTGATAACACCAAAAATGGAAGAAGAGGATCAAATGCAGAAGCAGCAGAAAGACAGTCTGAGTGCTCGGATGAAGATGTTCGTCCACTTGCGCCAGGACTTGGAAAGGGTGAGATAAACGTCATTGCAGACTTAAAACTTTAAAATATGAATAAGTAAATTTTGCTTTATCATTGTAGTATTTTATCAAATTTGTTTCACTTTTAAAAAATTTGACCAGGGAAGTTTTTAACAATACTAAGTTTTTTTTTTCAGGCCCGCAACTTGTGTTATATGATCAGCAAAAGGGAGAAAACAAAGAAACAATTTTTCCAGATCAAAGAGAGTGTTTTCAAAAGTCAAGTTCGTGTTCTCACCGACCCCGACCTTAACCTCAGCGCCAGAGAAGCTGAGAAAGTACGCCAAGAATATCATTTTAATTCCCTGTACAGCAACTATGGCATCCTGGGCGCTCACAGCAGCAAGCAGCCTCGGAATAACCTTTTCACTCTGGAGAATCTCAAAACCCCCAAGGACTTTTCTGACAATGAAAAGACGCAGGATAGCTATGTAAATGAGACAAAATCCTCATCAGGACAGTCCAACCTTGGGAAGGAAGACAGGCAAAGTAGCAAAAGTAAGGCAGCCAAAGGTTCTAAAACTGACAAGGCTAGCCACAGGAAGAATCTGTTTGCCGTTGACACTTTCAACATCATGACAGACTCCCCAGCTGAGAGCAGCGGGGATGAGCACTTATCCACCGCGGCTAAAACCACTCACTCCTCCCAGATGAGCCGGCTGGGCAAAGTCAAGTTAAAGGAGATAGAAGAGGTGTCAGCCACTGGAGATCCCATTGTGAAAACTGTCCCAGAATCCCCCAGCAAGAAGAGCCTGGTCCCCGCCAGTGACTTTGGTAAAAAGTTGAGCCTTTTCCTGCAGTCCAAGACGAAGATGCAGCAGCTGCAGGAGAGGAGGTACGACCAGGTGCGGGAGGCGCTGCACATCGTGGTGGACCAGTCTGAGGACAGCGAGGTGTTCACGTCAGACACCAACACCGTCCTGTCCACGGTTGACCAGCCCAGGAATCTGTTTGAGCAGTTCAGCATGCAGGATAAAAAGTTTGTGTCCTCTCCTGAGATCTCTGGGGACAACAAGTGTAACGTCCAGCCCCTGAGGCATCAGAAAAAGTTGAAGAAACGCAAGCACAGCCGCTCTCCCCCTAAGGTACAAAAACTTCGTCTGCTTGTGTCGCCCTCAGAGCAGTCCAGCAGCTCCAGTGTGTCCGTTAAATCTGAGTTAACACCAGATGTTACGGCAGACGTCGGTGCTCTGACCACTGTCAACTCACAGCTGAGTGCCACAGCCCTACCCTCTGACACTGACTCCCAGCCTCACCCACCTGTCTTATCACCAAAAGGCAGGAAGAAGAAATCCAGAAAAAACCGCAGCCTGACCCCAGACAGAGCTCTGAAATCCAAAAACCTTCTCCTGTCTCCAACCCCTCGGGTTGAACCTGATAGTGTGTATGCCACGCTGGATGGGGACATCTATGTACCCACTGGCAAAATTCTCATGACAGAGAGGACAATTGTCTTAGATGATCCCAAGGAGGAGGACGGGGCGCGTCTGCAAAGTAAGTTGAGGCTGAAGAAGAAAGCCAACTCACCACTCAAGGGTAAGGTCACGTATGAGGTGGTCAAGGATGAGGACGACAGGAAGGACATTTTTGTAGATGACCCACCCAAATTAGAAGCAGAGGCAGAGAAAAATATTTTTGATCGTGTTGTGGAAACTTTGCCATTGGTACCAGATGTTGCTGAAGTCTCCACTCAAAGGAGTGTGCGTTTAAAGAATAAAAACGTGGAGGAAGCATCCCCTGGTAGAAGGACACGACACAGTAAAACTGAGACCGCCGGTCAAACGCGACACAGTAAAACTGAGACCGCTGGTCAAACGCGACACAGTAAAACTGAGACCGCTGGTCAAACGCAACACAGTAAAACTGAGAGCGCCAGTCAAACACAAAACAGTAAAGTGCCTGAGGTGGCTAGTGTGCCAGAGGTGAAAGCTGAGGTTGTCAGTGAAGACCAAGAACCCTCCGAGACAAACAGCCGCAAAAAAAGGCAGCCAAGACGAAAGCGTAATGTGTCCACCAACGACACAGAGAAGGGAGAACTTTCTGATGAAAACTTCCGCCCCAGCGGTGGGTCACCCAAGGTGCCACCCATTGACAAGTCACAACGACCTAAAAGGTCACGGAAAAACAGACTAGTTCATTCTGATGAAACAGATGGGGAAGATGATTCTGATGATTTCCAGGAGAAGCCACATAAAAGAAATCTCTTCACAAAACCAAAGGCTCCCCCTAATGGAGCCCAAAGTGTGCAGTTGATACCCTTGCCTAACAAGCCAGCTCTGAACTGTTTGTTAGATGCTAAAAAACTTGTTGTTAAGGAAGAGCTCTGTAAACAGGTTGGTAATCGCCTAAGCAGGCACCTGAAGGAGAGGGGCAGATGGGGAAGTTTCAATGGAGTTAGCAATCAAACAACTTTAGATAAATTTCTTAAAAGGACAGGCAGTAGTGAAAATGTTTTCTCCAAGCCTGACAGCAAAGTGAATGGCAAAGTGACCAGACCAGATCTCTGCCCCCTGCGGGTCAACAAATCTTCCTCGTTAAACAGCTACAATGATAGCTCTGGGTTGCCAGATGCAGACATGGCCCCAGCGTCACCTGTCAAGTCAGCTGTGTTTGGCTGCCACAGCTCACCTAGGCAAGGCTTGAACAGCTACCGCAGTCCACACAAGAACGACGTCTTGGGGGACCAGAATCTGACACCGTCTAATGACTCAAAAGAGTCTGTGTTTGGCGATGTGGAAAAACTACACAAGCCTTCGCGGCAGCTTTCTTTTGAGGATGTGGGTAAAAAAAATGATATTTCACCAGCCAAGAGCAAGTGTGATTTGGCTGAGGTTGTAAAAACTCCTTCAAAATGTGAACTCTCTGAGTTTTCTGAGGAGAAACTGGACTGTAACAGGAGCTATAGATCTCATTCCCCGCCCTCCAGCGAGGGCAGTTGCGCATCAAGTCGCATCCATCAGCTGGACTCAAGAGAAAGTACCCCAAGTAGGCGCGTCACCAGGAGTTGGATTAACGAAGATGATCAAAGTCCCAACACTCGCTTACGTAAAAGGGAAACTTTGTTAAAAGCCCCTCAGTTTAAATTGTGACAATAAGTAGAATTGTGTGTGTTGGGAAGGGGGGGGGGGTGAGAAAATGTAATTGTGTGATGTGTGGATCATTGGGACTACATTGTATTTTGTTGTGCCAGCGTTGTGCTGGATTAATGTCTAAATGATTGCTTATGTTTGGGTTTTTTTTTTTAAAAGCTTGGTAAAAAGTTAAATTTTTTTAAACAAAACTTGAGGCACAATATTTTTCAAGCAAAGTAATTCTGGACTAGTAAATCCTATGTTTCAAGTTAAAACTTTTTAAAAAAATCCACATGAACCCATCAATACAATGAGCAATATTTTACTGGTAAACAAATAACAAAACTGACATGTTTCTCAGGCCTACCTGCATTTAAAGTAACAGATTTTAACTGGTTCACTAGCTTTTTCTCAATCATCAATACAAATGTATAGAAAATGGCAAACATTAATCACTCTACCATTGTATGTTATTTATAGTAATCTTGTATGAAAGTCTCCACTGTAAATTATTCCTAATGAAATCTGCATGGTTACATGCCCAGACTAGCTGGAGGTTAATTGTGTGAGTGTGTTAGCTGCAGTTAATGCAGTGTTGTTTACATGATCTTCTGGGTGTGTGTGTGTACATGTCATGCACATTATTAAACCGTCTGTTTTAAGATGGTATCACATTCTTGACATTCATTTGTTGATAGTTTTAATCAAATATAAACTTGATGATTTGTGAGTCTAAAATTGATTGTTATCAAAGCCACTCTTCAAATGGTCAATAAATGTCTTTTTTTTTTTTCATTTTAAAAAATACAGCCTTCATGGCTGCCTCCAACATAATACTTATGATCTATTTCATCTGCTCAAGTGTCCCTCAAACATAATGGAATATAAAGTATTGGCTGTGCCTTATAGAAAGTGTATAATTCAAACTTTAAACATTTAGAATCTAGCTCCCATCAATTCATTCAGCTTCTGAAGATGTTCCATCTTGTTTATGCTAGCTGTTTGTTTTAACCAGTCTTTATTGTGAGTGGGTTAGTACAACTAATGCTAATACTCTCGGCTAAAGAAGACATTTTTCCGCATTTTATTTTACATTTACTCATACATCACTGAAGTTTACGTAGGTGGCACTTGTTTAAAACTGGGAAGAAATGTTTATAGACTCGTAAATATGTAAAAATGTACCATTTTCATCTTCCATTGTTGGTTTATGCTGATGTGCATAGTGTTAAGGAAACAAACTGTCCATCTGTTGTAATTAGTGTGTATAGTCGACATTGTTTGTCCTGTGACCTCTGGCGTAATGACACTAGTAGTAGAGATTTACTAAGTTTTATTTGACTGTGATAACTGGGGCTTACAATTAAATTTCATTTGTTTTTTCTAAACACTCAGATTTTTAGAATAAATTCCTGTAGTTTGTCAGCAAACTAAAAAACTTGGTAAACAACATGAGCAACTGGATGGATTCAATTGGCAACAGTTGTATGTACACAGCAGTCCAGTTTTTCTCACATTGACTAATGGCAGCCTCTTATGGGTTTAGTAGTGTGTAGGAAACATCTTACAAAAAAAAGCCATTTGTGGAGTTTTTATTCACAAATAAAATATGTACATCTTTTTCTTTTAAATCAGTTTCTTGTTTTTATTATAATATGTATGTGTTTTGTTTGTGGTGAATCTTGTGTATAATATGTAACTCAGTTTTGACCACTTATTTTGTTCTTATTTCCAAATACACTTACACTTGTCTCAAATGACAACGCAAGAAAATCTCATTTTTAATCTAATTATATATAAAGTTAGTCATTACTAATTATTTTTAAAAAGTTTTAATTTTCATATAGGCCGAAATTAATTACGCTTTTGTATAATTCCGCACTAAAAAGGAGAAAATATATGATTTTCTTTACTTTAAATATTATATAAATATGCACTACTATTTGAAAAACTTAATTAATTCTTTAAAAAATCAAATAAGCATCCAATTAAGTCAAATTTAATGTCAGATTGCAATGTTATCTGATCTTGACTTAGACGCCAAGTTTCTAAGAAATTGGCCTGTTAGAATTGGTTGCAATTTTGCTCACCAGTTTTGATCCATATTAAAGTTTAAAGACAAAAGAATGACAGACAGAGAAAGTAAGTGAAATAAAAGCTTGTAGAAATTACCTAAATTTGGCAACATCAGGGGAGAAAACAGAATTAAATACTACCAATGGTTCTATCACTCAGCTGAGCTTTGTTATGGATGATTTTTCTAAAGAACCCATCAGGAATGGTAAAAAGTTAGATTGGTTTTTAAAGGAAATATTTTATAATCTGTGTTGTACTGATCTTAAGTATTAGCCAAGCGCACAAAACCAGCTCAATCTAGACAGGTTTAATTTTTAAAATTCATAATTGCTAAAAAGTAGAAAAAGAGCAAATATAAAAATCCTTTATAACAAGCTTTTTAAATGCACTGAAAATTTTAAAAAATATACTCTTCAGTAAAGGCATTGGTCAGAGAAAATATTACGATGAGATTTCATTAACAACCAATGCTTTTATTAACACTAACATAGGTACTTATGTAGTAACCAAGATGTCACAATTTCCCCAAATAGATGTGGAGGCATACAGTCTGCCCAAGTTGTCACAATTTCCCCCAAATAGATGTGGAGGCATACAGTCTGCCCAAGTTGTCACAATTTCCCCAGAGAGATGTGGAGGCATACAGTCTGCCCAAGATGTCACAATTTCCCCAAATAGATGTGGAGGCATACAGCCAAGAGAGCTAAATATGCTTCATTTTTTTTTTTACTTCATGCTTCATCAAGCAAAAAAATGTTAAAAGATACAAATCAAAACAAACAGTTAAGCAAATGGACTTTTATTTTTAGCATTTCCACTGATGACTGTATATATAGGGAAAATGAAAGGGTAAAATACTATATCAAATTTGTGATGTAAGTGTAAGGTTTCTATATTAAAACAAAATGAAAATTTTGCAATAAATATTACAATCAAAGCATTCATGAAGCTTGCACTGGTGGGGTTAAAAGGCAAGCTACTCAAAGATTCTTCAATGACACATTCATGATCAAGATAAAATTGCACAAGCTGTTTTTAATACTTTAGGTTTTTAAAAAAAATTAATCTTGTGAGATGTACAAATGAAACAATTATTAATAGAAGTTGAATTGCACAATGCCCAACGTAGAACACACATTTAATAAAATAAATGAGAAAAAGACAATAGCAAACCAAACTTGAAGGTAGTGGCTGATGTGATGTACAAAGTTTCTGTAATTTGCTTTTAAATGGGGGATAAAACTTCTTGCTATACAATACACTAGATTCGAATTTTTTTTTTTTAAATAAAGCTATTTTATAGATGCTGAACAATATATTTTTATTTTTAAATAAATCTGAAAACCTTCTGGTTAAATATCTCATCAGTTTCCCTGCATCTAATAGAAAACACAGAAAAATATGTATCACAAATAGTGGAGATAATGCTTTACATCAAAATAAAAAAAATCACTGTTCTAGTACTAAGCAGTATAAAAAAATGTTTTTATCAAACACATTTTGATTTGGTCTTAGTTTGAGTGTTTTCATCAACACAATCTTTGAAATTTTTACCCAGGCTGATTACAAAAAGGAATGTTATAATGGCCAAAGTTCTCTACTTGGGATGTTAACAGAAATCCTAGAATCAATAAACAAGGATGTGAGCAATGACAAATTTAACTACAGTACAATCAAGTAAAATCACAATCCAACTGTAACAGGAACTCAAATCTAAAAGCTCATCTCAACCACAGTGAAGTAATAAATATTCACATTTATAACACCAATCAAATCACAGTCTCTAATTAGTAATTAATTAATTAATAAATGCATCTATTCACATTTTGTTTGCAGAGACATGAACAGCAGGAAAAAAAATATGTACAAACACAATTTTAGAATGACTAATTATGCACAAGTATATAGACAAATCTTTGTAAGTAGATCCATTTGAATGGTAAATTATAATTAAAATTGTATTTACAAAGTAAGTTTCCTAAGACAAAAATTGCTTGGTCACAAGGAATCATTAGGAATCAAAAATTAGAAAATCATGCTAGATTATAGTCAAAATAATGACAGCACCTAAATAATATTTAAAATTTGACATTCAGATCCCCTACATCTTAAAATGGACAAGTGTTCAATCACGGGCTGAAAGCAAACCCCCAGATCTCTATTCATGGTTTACAGACACATTTAAGTTAACTCAAAAATATATTATTTTTGTGTTTGACATTCAAATATTTTACAGGTAAAAAGTTGAATTAAGCTAGCAAAGAATAAAAAAAACTGTGCCATTGCAGAATATTAAAAAACATCACACGGCCACTAAACCAAGCAAAACCATAATATGTTATTTTCATCAAGTACAACACCTGTAGCCAGTGATGTAACCATTTCCAGGTTAGTGGCAGACTAGCAATTACTTCTAATCTAAGTCTTATGACCACATAAATGTATAGTATCCATATGCTTGGCATAAAGTCAGACTGCATCTAGCAGTATGGCTAATTTTAAGAAAAAGTCCAAATATTATAAAGATTTATTACTATAGATAACAATTAAACTTCTCCGTTTAGCTATATACAATTACTACAGTGAGCTAAAATAAATTTTGAAAAATTCATTTTGTAAAGAGAAGTAAGAGAATGACTAACACCTTAACAGCACTATAGAAAAAGAACTATCTGATAGAGTTTTAGCTCGGTTGTTTGATTTTGCTACTGTTATCCCTCCATTTATTTCTTCTTGGCTTTAGGTGAAGCTGACTGGAAGACGCTGCTGGCAGCCATTAAGTTCTCAATGTACTGACCCAGTACCTGGTTCTCTGACTTCAACTTGAGATTTTCCACTTTCACAGAATCCACACGAGATGATAAATCTGTCAAAAGAAATACAAATTAAAAATTATACCGTCATACTTTTAATTAATAAAAAGTAACAATATGTTACTGGGTACTTGGGAAACATTTTGAGAATTAATATGTAGGTAATAATAAAAACATGGGGTAGAGTGGGTAGATGGTGGAGAGCATAACTGATAACCTAAAAGTCTCTAGTTTGGATCCTGGACTAAGGTCCATAAGACTTCCCTTAGGTCCACCCAGCTCTGATGGTTATCTGACTACAGTAAAGATGGCTAGGTATTAAAATAACCACAATATAGAACACACTATCAACTGATATGCCCAAGGCACAGAAACAGATGGACTCTACTTTATCTGTCCTATTGACCGCCAGATCTGATGAATGGGTAACTATTTTTTTAATAATAAAAATTTTCATTAATTCAAAGATAATGTAACAGTTAAAACAGTGGATCAGTTTACGGCTTTGGTACAATAACTCAGCCTCATTCACAACATGCAAGGAGGGAACTCTAGTCTGAGATGGGCAGAGCAAAATAAAAATTAAATATCAAACAAAAAGTAGCTAACTAACACCATCAAGTGACATTCATAAAAATAGTACTAGAAGACAATAATTCAAAAGTGTTTTTAAAAAATACTTACCATCTAATGTGTTTTGCCTCTCTAAAACCTGTGCTATTAACCGCTGTTTTTCTTCCTGGTCATCCAAATTAGCGTCAGGATCAAGACCTAGAAACAGATTTCAAATTTGAAACATACTTTTATGCACTTGAAATTAACAAATATAGGCCTACTGGTATTTAAATAACATTAACAAATAACTATAATTTTATGAAAAAAATGTAATATGGGTGTAGTGTAGCATTGTTACTCACTAATTGGGCTAGTCAATCCTATATACAAATTCTTGTTTTCATTTTCAGGTGTATGATGATCACCTTGTATGGAGAAACATAACAAAAAAATATTAGAAAATCAAAATAATGAGCCACCTCAGATTGCTAAAGACTACTCCAGGTTCATTAAACATGTGAGACTAAAATTATAGTGAATTAAGGCATACATGGTGGGGTTCTTCATAAAAAGTGTGCTATACTATAAAGAAAAGATAAAATAAAGACATTTATGATGGAATTAAAGTAGTCGTTATTGTCAAGAATTTTAATTTAAAAAAATAATAATTAGGCCTAGGTGTGCTGCCATGTTGTAACAGTTTGACTTGTTTTAAATGTACATAAACGCATTACTGAAAGTACTAGCACATAGAGCAGGCTAGTGCATTCATTAGTGATAAGATTGTGTTTTCATGTCATTATCAATACAAGTAATATCTAGGCCCTATAACTAATAATAATAGGACTATAATCTATTGTTATTTTTAAGTATTAATTATTATAAATATTAATAATTAAATAATTAGCCTACAGGATTTGTTGGCAACAAGTTTTATAAGTTGAACCAGCTCACCTTGGTCGCTATCACTTGATAGTTGGACATTGCTTAACTGGTCATTTTCCCTGGCTGACATGCTGACTTGAAAATATTATCTTTAGACAATAATTATCAGGCACGGACCAAGAAGTAGACTAACAACAATATAACGGTAGATATTAAATAATAAGTCCCAACAACGATGTGTACTGTGTTAGTTATCAATCCAGTTGGTGGTCAGCATCGGGTTGGGGACCGTCACTCCTGTGGCTTTTTCGAAGTCGAGAAGTTTTTTTCTAAATCTGGTGATCTATGTCTTAGAAAAATTGGCTCACGTGGAATTACAAATGACCACGCAAAAAATAAAAAATGGAAAACACTATTAAACTAGAATATACAAACAAAAATGTCTCTTATTCCAGTGAAAATCAGTGTTTCATTTATATGGGAACCATGATAATGTGCATCACGTGATCGACGTCATAAAAAGCTGCGTACACAGTTCGCGACTGGACATTCGCCGCGGATCCACAGTTTACCTTGGATATGAGAGAATGAGAGAATCGCGTTCAATCGTAGATCTAGACATGCCACTAAGATCAGTGAAACAATAAATAAGTGTAGGGGATGTTTGAGTGAAAGTGATGCACGTTTTCTATGGATATTTATGTAAATCAACTATTTTAAGGTACATTTTGACATTTGTTTTTAAATTTAATTGTAATTGGTTTATTTTTGTTGCGTAACATAAAAAGGGAATAGCAAACACGGAGATGTCGTCTGCTCCGCACGAGGAAGACAGTTGACATTGTTTACTATTTGTTTTCTTTCACCGAGCGAACTGCGAAGTCGTCTTGTTGTGTGTGGTGACACGCAACAATGAAAATTTCCTTTTTTAACTTTAACATTTGTCATGTCTTGTTAAATATTGTGTTTACTTTTTTTTGTCTCTCGGCTCTAAACACATTAATCATTAATTTAGTTGTTTTTATTTAGCCTTGGCTACTAGGCTAGCCATATAACTCGCAACAACTACTGGACTATTACATCGCAGTTCACAAATCTCTTTAAAAATATATAGATCTAGATCTATTAAAACCGGTATTCTTTATCCAGATTTCTAGATCTAGAAGTATTTTACGGATATCTCTAATCGACTTAATAAAAATTTAAATATGTAGATCTAGGCCTACATAATATTTAAATATAGGCTTTATTATGTACGTAGGTTTAATTCTTCACATTAGGTATATATATATATATATATATATATAGGCCTAAAGGCCTATTTATTAAGTAGCATACTGTAGTCTGCTCTGGAATGTGGATTTAGTAGCCAATGTCTATGACGTTATGTTTAGTATAACTATAAATAGTTACAGTATTAAAGGTGAACGTTTAATAATTTATATAGGCTAAACAAATTTACATATAAAATCTAGACTTACTACTATTATGGGGCCATCCATAAATGACGTCACGCTTTTTGACGATTTTTTACCTCCCCTTAACCTCCGTCACACATCGTCACAAAAAGCCAGCCCCCCCCCCTAAAATGACGACACACATCAGCCTACGCCCCCCCCCCCCCCTCTAAATGGCAGTTTAATTTTTCTTAAAATACGATATTTTTTCCAGAATCTCGTCTGAACTCTGTCAACATAGAGTATTTTAATCAATACCTATTACAATTTATTAAAACAGTTTTCTAACACGCGAAATAACGGCTAAAATTCGTTTTCTAACATTGCTTTTTTATGATGCAAAAGTATGACGTCACACCATCTGAACCCACACAATGTCACAAAATTATCTACAAGTGTGACGTTATTTATGGACGACGCCTATTAATCCTAATATATAAATCCCCACGTTCGCACATCTCTCTCTCTCTCTCTTTCTCTGTCCGCAAAAAATTTTCGCCGGACATCACGTCAGAATCGGCAGCGATATATCGAGAACTTTTTACGGACTTTTGTTGAAAAAAATATGTTAGATGTTTTAAATGTATAACCACAAAATTATTTAAAGAAGAAAAATAAAAAATAAAGGCGTATTCGAATATAGAGAAACAGTATTATTTATGCAACCGGAAAAGCATTAATATATGTGAAAAAGAACGCATAAAACTGTGACGTCACTATTGCTTATACATTAACTAATGACGTCATCTGCCGTGTTTAGAATGAAAAGAAATGAACTATTTCATTCAAATTTGATTTAGATCTACGTACACTATGAAATGTATACAATACAATTTTTCCGGCCTAAACTCATAAAATTTATTTTATGTATTTGGATTCTAGATCTAGAGATTCTAGATCTAGACTAAATCTAAATCTACGCAATAACTAGATCTAGACGTAGACGCTAAGATCTAGATTTAGACTCTAACTTCTCTAAAATCAATTCCAAAAATAAATTTCTATATTAGGACTAAACTATTTCAAGACTTATTTATTTTATACAAAATCTTTGTTATGAACTGGCTAATTTGGGATAAAAAATTAATTTGAAAGAATAGGCATATTCGCGTAAGTTAAGATTTTAAAATACGTGTTACATTCTCCGTATTTTATAAGGTGCCTAAATAGCGGAGATGTTAGTGTACATTAAACCACGCAGGTGGTGCGGGTTCGAGACACAGCAAGTCAGCTTGGTTAATGTATTCTTTTTTATTATGCTCGGGCTAAACTTAAAAAAAAAATTCTTTTAGGAATCTAGCTCTAGATCTAGATTGTCGGGTGTCCGATAGGGCACTTCCCGGCGCCGCAGGCGCTTCAAATTTGGCATGATCTTGCCTTGGTGCGACAGAACACGGGGGCCGGTTGGCCGAAAAGTCTACGATGTGGGGGGCAAAACTGACCTCGACTGACCGGTACCTTATATGAGCTATAAATCGAAAAAAAATGTCCACGGAGGAACCTCTTCATAACTCTTGAGGTCGTAGACCGACCTTCGGGCGAATTAATTAAGCATTCAAATTCTCAATGTTTTCGAAAGCCTAAGCGAAGCTGGGCAGCATGCCTAGTATACTATATGAGTCTTAGATTTCCATTGTAAACTAAATTATATATCCAAAACTGTGTTTCTTTATATCTTCATACAATTGTCTTTTTTATTGGTTTGTATTTTGCAAAATTAACCATTGATGTGAAGAGTTAGTTAAACCTCTGTATTTATGAATTAATTTTTAGAACGTGTTATTTTATTGCTAGATTAATTTGTTTATTGTTACATTTCAATAGCTACTAGTAACTCTGCGCATAAATATACAAACATGCTTTCAACAACTTTATGATCTGGGGCCACTATTCGTGTAACAGTTAAATCACCATAGGGCGAGTCAACGTCTTACCTAGTTATAGCTATAGAGCGCTGAGAGTGGACGCTGGCTGATTGTACCATGATGCTCCTATCCATTGGCGTCACAAATGTAGGGGCGGGGATGCGGACCCCGATGTAGCAGGGGTTAGTTCCATGCTACTTTTAATTTCTGATAGACGCGAATACTCGTCCATTAAAATTTCATCTTACCGGCGCTTGAGAACGAATGCGAAAGCTTTCAAATGGTCATATCGTGTTGGCTGTAGTATGGGACGGGGAATTTTCTCCTGGTCAGACCCCCCCCTCCACCTCCCTTAATTTCTCCCTCGACATTCACCCACTGTCCATAAAAAAATTGACCCAAATATAATCTCAACATGTAACCTAACCATAAGTATGAAGTGAGGAAATAATTATCGGAAGAGTCAAGGTTAGGGCTAGCGTTAGGGTTTGACATAGGGGTAATTGCCCGGTGTGTGTGTGTGGGTGGGGGGAGGTCTAAAAGTAATTGACAGTTGGGTAATGTCCCTACCTAGTTTAACGGTCGTACACCCTTTCACCTTGCTTTATCAGTAACATCATTGCCATGTTTACTCTTTAATGATCCGTTTCTTTTAAAGAAATCGATTTTCGGCTTTACATATCCACCCCCGTGGAGGAATCTCAGAGATCACAGGGTTGAGAAAATGAAAAGATAAACTTTGCTTAATTGATTAAAAGCCACATACCACTAACCACATAACTCAGGGGCGTTGTCAGGGTGTGGGTTAGGGATGATCCTCTCCTAGCGGCCTTAAAATGTTATAGTTCTTAAGATTATATAATTGGTGGGGGGAAACTAAAGGGTCTACCGTGAATGTGTTAGCAATAAATACGTTTAATCGACGGTGTTGCATAACTGTCACAGTGACCACAACTAGAACCACAAAAACTGTCACCGTGTCATACAACTGTCACCGTGTCATACAACGGTCACAGTGAACACGACTACAACTACCAAAACAGTCAGCACGCTAGCTGAGACTACTGAAGGATAACTTGAAATGATTTGATCGAACGAATACAGCACCGGAATCGTAGAGTGGTGAAATCGATTTCTTGTGTGTTATAGCAAGCGTGCCGGGACTTGAGATTCTTAGTTTAGTTACATTCGACTAAAACCTTTTTTTCCGCCCCCCCCCCCCCCCCGTTATTTCCTCATCCACCAACTACCACCACAGTAACACAGTTTAAAACACCAGCATTTTGTAAGCTTGAGTCACCCGTGCTCCGACAGCGATACTTGCTACACACGTCCCTTAACAGTAGAGCTGTGTAATCTAATTAATCGCTCAAGTAAATTGCTAATTAATTAAGGCAATATTTGTATTGACCATCGTGTATTTGTATTAAATATTGAGTGATTAGCTATTGAGTTATTAGGAAGTTTCCAATTCAATGTGGCCGCCCTAATGGCCGACGGAGTAGAGCGCACCAGTTTCTGTGATTATGTGGTCAGTCCTGTCCAGCCGTCTTTACCCTCCCCTACTCCAGTCAAGTTCCCATCAGAGCCGCATTCACATGTACACAATTAAAAGTTGCCACAAAAAAAAGAAGAATATTATTAAGTTTGACTTAATCTCCGATCATTTTAACAGCACTCACTAGAATCATCTCTAATTTTTAGCGCAATTTCCATTCTGGAGAATTGCGTTTATTAACTCGTCATTTCTGGGAATGGATGGATGGATGAATGTGTGTCCGGGCTTTAAGTCGTATCTCCTCCTCAACGAAGCAATATCGATGACTAGTTCCAAAAGCAATTATGTTAAGCAAGTTACAAGAATGAGCATAGGCCATAAAAATTCCGGGTTTCTTTCATGTATTTCCCGTAAAAGCCAAAAAACCTCGAAAAAATGCAGTTTTTTGCCCATATCTCGGCAACCAGACCACTTAGCGACTTGAAACATGTACCAATCGATTCCTGCCATAATTTAGAACAATATTGCCGAAGAAAGTTTTCAAAAATATCCTCTCGTTCGGTCACAAATTTTAAAATTACATAAACACCTACAAACCGATCGCTCTTCTAGCTTGAACGCACCCCATCATTATACGTCAGAGCTATTTTTAGATAACATAAGGAAAATGCGCATAAATGTCACTAGACTTTTTTAATTAACTTGCGCGCCTACTGAACGTGATGGCGCAGCCATGGAACGCGATGACGCATCTATTGAACGTGATGACGCGTGTGGTGTGGTTGTATATACATGCCGGAAGTAGAGATCTATCATCTTAATGATTATCATGTTGATAATCAAGTTCAACTAACCAATGGTTTTAATGACCCTGCTCTTGATTTCAAGGTGCTGAGTTTAGTTAGTAGTTAGGTTTATTTAATAAAAAACGTTTTAATAACTAACCAATGGTTTTACTAACCCTGCTCTTGATGTACGCTACGACAGAGCTATTTTTAGATAACATAAGGAAATTGCGCTAAAATTGTCACTAGACTTTTTAATTAACTTGTTTTTTTTTAAATTCTCCCTTTCTATAGCCGTAGGCGGGCCGTCATTATCTTCGGGTTTTAGAAACTTATTTAGAAATTTAAATGCACTATTATGGTTCTAAATTTTTGTCTTTTTAAAAACATTTATATCTTGATTTAAGTGATTTTTTAAAAACCCAAAAAGTAAAAACGTCATCGTTTTTAAATTGCCATTGCGAAAAGTCTATGAGCAGTCCTGCTATTGATTTCTGTGACAGGTTTTAAAACACAGCGACTGTCAGAATCTATTTGAACGAATTCTCGTTAACAAATTGGGTTTAGAAAGATTGGGAAGAAAAGGGGGGGGGGGGAATTCCCCTGTAGTTAACACGTCACACGCGCCGTAGGAGATTGGAAGTGGGGGGGGGGGGGGGCTATGTTGCGGTGATCACAGCATGGGTAGACTGTAAGGTCAGTCACGTGGGTGGATAGGTCAGTCTAACGCGGGTAGACTGAGGTCAGTCATATGTAGGTAGACTGAAGTCAGTCATATGTAGGTAGACTGAGGTCAGTCATATGTAGGTAGACTGAGGTCAGTCATACGTAGACTGAGGTCAGTCATATGTAGGTAGACTAAGGTCAGTCATATGTTGGTAGACTGAGGTCAGTCATATGTAGACTGAGGTCAGTCATATGTAGGTAGACTGAGGTCAGTCATATGTAGGTAGACTGAGGTCAGTCATATGTAGGTAGACTGAGGTCAGTCATACGTAGACTGAGGTCAGTCATATGTAGGTAGACTGAGGTCAGTCATATGTAGGTAGACTGAGGTCAGTCATATGTAGGTAGACTGAGGTCAGTCATATGTAGGTAGACTGAAGTCAGTCATATGTAGGTAGACTGAGGTCAGTCATATGTAGGTAGACTGAGGTCAGTCATATTTAGACTGAGGTCAGTCATATGTAGGTAGACTGAGGTCAGTCATATGTAGGTAGACTGAGGTCAGTCATATGTAGGTAGACTGAAGTCAGTCATATGTAGGTAGACTGAGGTCAGTCATCTATAAAAATAGTTTCGCTGTCTGTCTATCTATCTATCTATCTATCTATCTATCTATCTATCTGACAAGAACGCTCTAGAGAAAACACAAGGAAAATAAAAACATGCACAGTAATTCGAAAAACGAAGTATGACGTCGACACATTTAGCACAGATTAGAAAATAATCTCAAGCCGGATAGTGCACACATTAATATGACGTCATTGATTATCGTGTAAACATTCAATACAAAGGCAATTTGGTCTAATCTAAGTGGTTTGCGTGAAGAGTTTCTTTCATACAATTATTTGGGTAGGGGCGAAGCCCCACCCCCGCGTAAGAACGTCTGAGCCCCCTCCCCCCTCGGGGAGGGGGCGGACACTGGAAAAAGTATATAATTATATTTCGTTGAATGGGACGGTAGACATGTTTTTTTAGGGGGGTGGGGGGGGGGGGGGTGGGGTGTGTGTGGGGGGGGGGTGGGGTGGTTTTAATTTAGACTTTTTCCTCCCCGGAGAGGGGTGGGGGGTACTTGAAATTTTCGGTGGCGGGGGTAGAATTTTCGGGGAGGGGGCGGACACTGGAAAAAGTATATAAATTATATTTCGTTAAATGGGACGGTAGACATGTTTTTTTTTTGGGGGGGGGGGTGTATGGGGGGGTGTGTGGGGGGGGGGGGTGGTTTTAGTTTAAACTTTTTCCTCCCCGGAGAGGGGTGGGGGGTACTTGAAATTTTCGGGGGCGGGGGTAGATTTTTCGGGAAGGGGGCGGACACTGGAAAAAGTATATAATTATATTTCGTTGAATGGGACGGTATACATGTTTTGTGGGGGGGTGTGGGGGTGTGTGGGGGGGGGGGTTGGGGGTGGTGTGTGTGTGGATGGGGGGTGGTGTGTGTGGGGGTGGGGGGGTGTGGGGGGTGGGGGTTGTGTGTGGGGGGGTGGTTTTAGTTTAGAGAAAAGAGACAGCACTATCAGCCTAGCGCCCGGTGTATCCTTCCTCAACGGGCCATTTTTCTCGTATATCTATAATAATAGTTTCGCTGTCTGTCTATCTATCTATCTGACAAGAACGCTCTAGAGAAAACACAAAGAAAATAAAAACATGCATAGTATTTCGAAAAACGAAGTATGACGTCGACACATTTAGCGCACAGAGTAGAAAATAATCTCAAACCCAGAGAGTGCTCAAAGTTATATGACGTCATTGATTTTCGCGTTAACATTGAATAAAAAGGAAATGTTGTCTAATCTTAATGGTTTGCGTGAAGAGTTTCTTGCATACAATTCTTCGGGTAGGGGCGAAGCCCCACCCCCCGCGTAAGAACGTCTGAGCCCCCCCCCCTCGGGGAGGGGGCGGACACTGGAAAAAGTATATAATTATATTTCGTTGAATGGGACGGTAGACATGTTTTTTTTGGGGGGGGGGGTGGGGGGGGGTGGTGTGTGTGGGGGGTGGGGTGGTTTTAGTTTAGACTTTTTCCTCCCCAGAGAGGGGTGGGGGTACTTGAAATTTTCGGGGGCGGGGGTAGAATTTTCGGGGAAGGGGCGGACACTGGAAAAAGTATATAATTATATTTCGTTGAATGGGACGGTAGGCATGTTTTTTTTTGGGGGGGGGGGGGGGGTGGAGGGGTGGGGGGGGTGGTGTGTGTGGGGGGGGCGGTGTGTGGAGGGGGTGGTGTGTGTGGGGGGTGGGGGTGGGGGGTGGTGTGTGGGGGTGGGGTGGGGTGGGGGTGGTGTGTGGGGGGGGGGGTGGGTTGGTTTTAGTTTAGAGAAAAGAGACAGCACTATCAAGCTAGCGCCCGGTGTATCCTTCCTCAACGGGCCATTTTTCTCGTGTAGGTAGACTGAGGTCAGTCATATGTAGACTGAGGTCAGTCATATGTAGGTAGACTGAAGTCAGTCATATGTAGGTAGACTGAAGTCAGTCATATGTAGGTAGACTGAGGTCAGTCATATGTAGGTAGACTGAGGTCAGTCATATGTAGGTAGACTGAGGTCAGTCATATGTAGGTAGACTGAGGTCAGTCATATGTAGGTAGACTGAGGTCAGTCATATGTAGGTAGACTGAGGTCAGTCATATGTAGGTAGACTGAGGTCAGTCATATGTAGGTAGACTGAGGTCAGTCATATGTAGGTAGACTGAAGTCAGTCATATGTAGGTAGACTGAGGTCAGTCATGTAGGTAGACTGAGGTCAGTCATATGTAGGTAGACTGAGGTCAGTCATATGTAGGTAGACTGAGGTCAGTCATATGTAGGTAGACTGAGGTCAGTCATATGTAGGTAGACTAAGGTCAGTCATATGTAGGTAGACTGAGGTCAGTCATATGTAGGTAGACTGAGGTCAGTCATATGTAGGTAGACTGAGGTCAGTCATATGTAGGTAGACTGAGGTCAGTCATATTTAGACTGAGGTCAGTCATATGTAGACTAAGGTCAGTCATATGTAGACTGAAGTCAGTCATATGTAGGTAGACTGAGGTCAGTCATATGTAGGTAGACTGAGGTCAGTCATATGTAGGTAGACTAAGGTCAGTCATATTTAGACTGAGGTCAGTCATATGTAGGTAGACTGAGGTCAGTCATATGTAGGTAGACTAAGGTCAGTCATATGTAGACTGAAGTCAGTCATATGTAGGTAGACTGAGGTCAGTCATATGTAGGTAGACTGAGGTCAGTCATATGTAGGTAGACTGAGGTCAGTCATATGTAGGTAGACTAAGGTCAGTCATATGTAGGTAGACTGAGGTCAGTCATATGTAGACTGAGGTCAGTCATATGTAGGTAGACTGAAGTCAGTCATATGTAGGTAGACTGAGGTCAGTCATATGTAGACTGAGGTCAGTCATATGTAGGTAGACTGAGGTCAGTCATATGTAGGTAGACTGAGGTCAGTCATATGTAGGTAGACTGAGGTCAGTCATATGTAGGTAGACTGAGGTCAGTCATATGTAGGTAGACTGAGGTCAGTCATATGTAGGTAGACTGAAGTCAGTCATATGTAGGTAGACTGAGGTCAGTCATATGTAGGTAGACTGAGGTCAGTCATATGTAGGTAGACTGAAGTCAGTCATATGTAGGTAGACTGAGGTCAGTCATATGTAGGTAGACTGAGGTCAGTCATATGTAGGTAGACTGAGGTCAGTCATATGTAGGTAGACTGAGGTCAGTCATATGTAGGTAGACTGAAGTCAGTCATATGTAGGTAGACTGAGGTCAGTCATATGTAGGTAGACTGAGGTCAGTCATATGTTGGTAGACTGAGGTCAGTCATATGTATGTAGACTGAGGTCAGTCATATGTAGGTAGACTGAGGTCAGTCATATGTAGGTAGACTGAGGTCAGTCTCACGAGGCGGGCTGAGGTCAGTCTCACGAACACAGCATAGAACATAAGGTATTCACATTACATAAACTAAGTGAAGTGGAACGCGTTTCTAGATCATGTGTGCCTATTTGTATTCTTAGTCTCCACTCTGCCGCCTAGCCTATTATAAAAGCAGTCTCTTAGATTCCCTCTGCCGCCTTGCCTACTAAACGAAATGTCTCTTAGATTCCCCTCTGCCGCCTTGCCTACTAACCAAGCTGTGATGCTGTCTCTCCCAGGTTGCGCTATCTGATGGCAGCGGTGTCCCACGGGCCGGGGACAGGTCGGTGCTAATGATTGGTCTCATAACCCGGTGTGGGGCGTGCTGTGTGACCTGCCCGGAATGTGGGTAAACAGCCACCTCCTGACATAGACCTCTAATGCCAGTCCCACCTAGAGACCAGTCTCTCCCCAGTATGACCAGTGCACACAGCGGGCTGGACAAGCTCAATCTGGAGCTGGAGGACGGCTGGGAGGCCAAGCTACAGCCGGACGGTCGGATTTATTATGTCAAGTGAGTATTGACACCTTTCCTTGTTTACTCTCCTGGAGTGGTTTTTTTTTCTTCCTGCGGGGCTGGGGAGTTTGTTGGCTCATGTTACAGTCTGGCGTCATTAGTTGCGTGCTTGTATTGTTAGCTGCTAACTATATTCAACCTGTTTGTATTGTTACATGCTAGCTATATTTAGCATGTTTGTATTGTTACCTCTGTGTTACCTGACTAATACAGTTTGTAACGTTTTGTCTTCTTTCTACCTGTATATTAATTTATATTGCTAACCTGGCATCACATCCTGTTTATTGTCAAATAAGTATAAAGAGAGTTGGTCAACACCTATATAGATCATTATATAAATGTGTGTGGTTTGTTTCAGCTAAACAATGTGGTGGCTAAATATAACATCACACCACATTCATCCCACCACCTAGTCATAGTAGTAAGGTCAATAAAACCCGTATACCAGTCATAACACCAGTATACCACAATTATACCACAATTATACCACCAGTTTATCACAATTATACCACAATATACCACAATTATACCACCATTATACCACAATTACACCACCAGTTGACCACAAGTAGATCAAAATTACACCACCAGTTGACCACCAGTAGACCACAATTATCCCACCATCAAGCTAGACACCTGTAAGGTGTGTTATGACCACTAGAAGAGTGATGTTGTTTTTACCGCTGCGGTCATTAGCACAACCCGACTGATGAATGTGTTGATATATTTTTGACACGGCGTGCTACAGACGCGTATGATTATGTTTTAATTAAGTCAACTAAATTGTAATGACAGGGGAGCTAACATTCCAGTAATACTTGAGTTGTCTTTGTTATGGCGCGACCCCAACGTGTGCTCTAGTCTAGTGGTGGATCCCATTCTTTGAACTAACAACACTCCTACCTGTTTGTTTACTTAGTCAACCTACACGTCACATTTGAGTGTTTAAGGTTTATGCCGTGTTCTACCTTTAAAAAAAAAATCAATTTTGTATTTTTATGAAAGTGTAGTTTGAGATTTTTTAAAGGTCAAGGCTAGAAATCTTGAACTTTTTTTTCTTGAATGAGCGATCGTTGAGTGGCCTTTAGAAGACACGTGACAAATGAGGCTTGCCAGGACCCCCGAACACGTTGGTTATAAACAGCTTTAGCAACAGACCGTCAACACATAGTTCAACTAAACATTTTGGTTATAAACAGCTTTAGCCAGGACCGTCAACACGTTGGTTATAAACAGCTTTAGCTTCAGACCGTCAACACATAGTTCTACTAAACATTTTGGTTATATGTAAACAACACGTACTGTAGCTAAACATTTTGGTTATATGTAAACAACACGTACTGTTGCTAAACATTTTGGTTATATGTAAACAACACGTACTGTAGCTAAACATTCTGGTTATATGTAAACAACACGTACTGTAGCTAAACATTTTGGTTATATGTAAACAACACGTACTGTAGCTAAACATTTTGGTTATATGTAAACAACACGTAGTTCTACTAAACATTTTGGTTATATGTAAACAACACGTACTGTAGCTAAACATTTTGGTTATAAACAGCTTTAGCCCGAGACCACCAACACGTACCTCTGTTCTGTTTAAAAGTGTTTCTATTTTGTATTTTGAGAACATATTTTTCATTAGCCGTGCGGTTTGGTTTCATCAGTCTAGTTCAGTGGTTCTTAACTTTTAGGAGGTACCGAACCCCAACAGTTTATTATGCGTATTCACCGAACCATTCGAGCCGCCGAACCCCCGAGACTGACTCGCCGAACCTGTGGTGTTCGGTCGAATCCAGGTTGAGAAGCACTGGTCTCGCCTGTGTTGAAGCCCCTCCGTGTCTCTCCTACACAGTGAGTACCAGACTAGTTCTCTACTACAGGTGTCTCAAGCTTCCCTCATCACCCACAAACCTATTAGCAGTGCTAGAGAATTATTAAATATTAAAAATAATTAGTCTTTTAAAAATGCATTCCATTTTTTTCTTATACTGTAATTACCCTTCAAGAAAGCTTTTGAAAATATTGACACTAAACAAACCAATCACATCTTTACACAAATGTCCCCTGTCGTACAAAGTCAAGTGCCCTCCCTTGCTTTTCTTACCCCTCCTGTTTATTTTGTGTAATTAGATAGTTTTGCCTCCCTGTGTATCGGGCTCTATTTGACATACAGTGTGAGAAAGCTACTCTCATTAGAGGAACCATTTCTGGCAGTAAATGCCTCGTTTAAAAACGAATCAATCCCCGTCTCTTACCTAACCCAAGGACTGCATACTCGACAGTTAATTGTTAATAGATCGACCCATATCGATCTCATGCAGCAGGTCCCAACCTCCGTCAACTGATTGTGTTTGGCTGATCAGCTGAAACAATGTCAACACGCTCCACACAGACCGGCCTACCTTTTAACCAGAAGCCACGGCGAGACAACTCCATTCGTGTTTGTATGGCTTTATTCTTTTTCCACTTGGGTCCACAGACTTCTCTGTCATGAACCCATACTGTATCCACGGGACTATTTAAACCCTTAGTTCAGTGGTTCCCAACCTTTTTCGAGTGGCGACCCCCATTTTATAAAAAGTAAGTGACCCGCGACCCACATAGAATTAAAAAGCCGAAATTAGTATAGAAATTAATAAGCACTAAAATAAGATTCTCTAGTAAACTTTCAATATGAACTACTCTTGATAATTGTTTTAATAGCATGAGTAAAATTGCATACTATTCACTAAACCTTCGTGGTTAACTTTTTAATTAATTTTTTTTGTTAACGCCAACCTATGTCATTATAATTATCTTAATTTTGTTTTTAATCGAAGAATAGTGTTGAAAATATATTTGCGAAAAGTCAATAATTTATACGTTTGGGTATAAATGGTGAATACTACACCAAAATTGTGTCTGCAGTTTTTCATCTTACTCGGAATCATTCTGCAAATCAAAGAATTCATCTTGTAATTCATCGGGAATGCTGGCAACATCAAGGGAAGAAGAGAATGTGTAATGCGTAAATGCAGATTCTTCTTTTTTTTTCAGCTCAGAGAAATAGCGATGCAGTTCGTTTTCAAGATATTCAAGATGCCCAGAAATTGCTTCTTTCAAAATTTTAATTATCTCACAATCAGATTCATCTACCACACCGCAGAGTTTCTCAAATTTACAATATTTCCAAGATTTATTTTCTTTACCGATTTTGCAGTTTTGATAAAAAATGCCCCGAGATTATCATGGAAAGTTATAATATTCGTTCATTTTTCCTGAAGCCTCAGGTTAAGCCTATCTTGATGTTCGAACACATCTGCTAGGTATGATACTTTCTCCAACCACTCTATGTCGTTTTAAGTATACCAAAAAGTCTTGTTTCCTTTGCACTTCCAAGATAAATTTGATTTCAGATTTCAATTCAAAAACACAATTAACAACATTTCGTTTGACAGCCAGCGTACTGTAGTGTAGAAGAGCAGAACCTCGTGATCTATATTAATGTTTTTGCTCAGTTCTTTGAAGGCTCCAGATTTTATATAATTTACGACTTATACTAGCAATGGACTCTTGATGTCAATTGGTTAGGGCAGTGGTTAGGGAGCTAAAACTTTACTGTTTTCTGAAACCCCGATTTTGAGCTAAACATAGATGGCGCACCATCCGTACAAACCCCCACAGCCGTTCTAACCCATTTTAATCATCCAGTTTCAAAAAAGTTATTTATTTTCTCCATGCTATCTTCACAAAAGAGCAACTCTTCTTTGCTATCATCCGCATGAATATAGACACAGACCAGCAACTGCGAACACGAACTCACGTCTGTTGATTTATCAACTTGAAAAGCAAACAATGGTGAAGGCTTAATTTCAATAAAAATGTGTTATTTAACATTTACGTACATGCAGCGTTTGATGAGATTTTCTCCCATTGTTTTTTTTTTTTAATTTTTTTTTTTGCTTGGCATTTTCAATCGCGACTTCATTTGATGCTTGCACTAATGCTGGTGAAAACTTCCTGTTCGATCAAGTCTCTGGCGTTTGCAACTAGCTTCTTACCGACGAAAGAACTCCATATATTTTTCGGTGTGTTCCGAATGACTCGTCTCAAATGACGATTTAGTTTTGAAGATTTCATAGATTCGAGACTGAGAACAACTTTGTACAGTGCGCTTTGTTTCTTCTCTATTACATTTCCAGTGATGTTAATGAAGCCGAATTTCAAAAATTGTTCTAAATATTTATGTTTTGTTTCAAATTACTAAGGTTTAGTATACCAGTTGGCGACCCCCCCAGAAAGACCTTCGCGACCCCCAGGGGGGTCGCGACCCCCAGGTTGGGAACCCGTGCCTTAGTTCTTCTTTAATGTCCAGTAGTGGAAACTTTTTTTTACAAGCTTTTATTTAACTCACTTCCTCTGTCTGTCTGTCTGCGTCAGTCTAGATCGAAACGCCGGAGCGAAAATTCGGACACTTCTAACTGACAGATACGGTTCGTAATTGGTACGTGGGTCAAGACATGAAGACAATGCATTATGCCATTGAATTTGACTTAATTACAGTTGTGTTCCTCAATAATCTGAGCCCCTCTTCCCTCAGCGTGGGTAACGTGGGTGAATGTTAACTCGTACATAGCTGTAATGTCACAATGTTAACTCTTACATAGCTGTAATGTCACACTGTTAACTCTTACATAGCTGTAATGTCGCACTGTTAACTCTTACATAGCTGTAATGTCACACTGTTAACTCGTACATAGCTGTAATGTCACACTGTTAACTCTTACATAGCTGTAATGACACACTGTTAACTCTTACAAAAAGCTGTAATGTCGCACTGTTAACTCTTACATAGCTGTAATGCCACACTGTTAACTCTTACATAGCTGTAATGTCACACTGTTAACTCTTACAAAAAGCTGTAATGTCGCACTGTTAACTCTTACATAGCTGTAATGTCACACTGTTAACTCTTACACAGCTGTAATGTCACACTGTTAACTCGTACATAG